TCGCAGATGGAATCTTTGCTTCGATGAGAAAGTCAAAGAGTTTGGTTTCTCTAGGAGTGAGGATGAGTCTCGTGTATATGTTAAAGCTAGTGGGAGTATAGTTAGCTTTCTAGTATTGTATGTTGATGACATACTACTCATAGGAAACGACGTTCCAACCATGCAGGAGGTTAAATCCTGGCTTGGGAAGTGTTTCGCTATGAAGGATCTAGGAGAGGCTGCTTATATTATGGGAATAAGGATTTTGAGAAATAGGAGTAGAAGACTAATTGGACTTAGTCAAAGTACATATTTGGATAAGGTTCTAAAACGTTTTAGCATGGAAAATTCAAAGAAGGGAGAGTGACCTAACCACAGTAATACCAAACTGAGTAAAACTCAGAATCCGAGTACCGATGCTAAGATAGCAGAAATGAGTCGAGTTCCTTACGCTTCTGCCGTTGGATCGATCATGTATGCTATTACATGTACTCGCCCTGACGTGGCTTTTTCTTTGAGCATGGTTGGTCGATATCAAGGAAATCCGGGTAGAGCCCATTAGATAGCTGTTAAGAACATTCTTAAGTATTTGCGAAGGACGAAGGAATGGGTCCTTGTGCTTGGTGGCAGTGATGACTTAAGAGTTACTGGGTATAGTGACGCCAGTTTTCATATAGATAGAGACAACTTTCATTCTCAGTCTGGTTGGGTTTTTACACTTAATGGAGGAGCAGTGACTTGGAAGAGTCCCAAGCAGGAAACCGTAGCCGATTCTACATGTGAATCCGAGTATATAGCTACGAGCGAAGCATCAAAGGAAGCTATATGGTTGAAGAACTTCATTGGAGACCTTGGAGTTGTGCTATCCATAAAGGAGCCTATGGAGATTTTCTGCGATAATAAAGGAGCGGTTGCCTTAACCAAGGAACCAAGAGATCATGGTAGATCGAGGCATATCGACAGAAAATATCATTTTATGAGACATTGAGTAGAAGAAGGAGACCTCGCGTTAAGAGGGTATCGTCAGAAGAGAATCCTGCAGATCCCCTTACAAAGGGTCTGAGTAGGATTAAGCACGTTCAGCATGCGAGGAGCATTGGTCTGAAGGATGATATTAGTTTTAGTGTTTAGATAGATATTTAGAAACTTGTAAAAAATAAATGTAATTGACATTTGATGATTAATTAATGGAGAATTACTTATGAGTCGATCATACTTTGGAAGTAAGTAGTGAATTAAGACTGTCATGAATTGGCTTGTCGATTGTCTAAGTGCTTAGACATGGCAATAGTTTGCTGCAACGTTCATGAGTACATTTGAAGCAGGGATTTAAGTATTGGATTAAACCCACGCTCATAGAATTACTTCATGGAATTTATCATGAGTAATTATGAGACGATAATATCATATAATCTTTAAAACGAGATATATGAGTTGTTGTTTACGAGTTGGTTGTGCATTGATAATGCGTAAACGCATCAATAACTTGATGTTATAAAACGTATTGTTGTGTACAATTTAATAAGTAAATAGTATAAACATATAAGTCAAAGTTTATCTGTTCCTTTTATCCCAAAGGGTAAAAGCGATATCTTGGGCCCCTCGATGATTTGTGTTGACTTATGTGTCGGGCCTGATCAAGACTAAATTGATGTGTTCAACTAAGTTCTATGTCATTACAAATCAAAAATCGGGAAACAAATTGTTGGACATTGAGAATGATTTTATTCCACGTCATTTGTCCACATGATATCTTGTAGAACGGAGGATTATATGATTACTTATCCTAGGACACATAACTGACTCAGTTAGAGTTCAACAACGGCTTTTGAAAGCTACAATTTGCTAGTCAATTTTTGAAGTTATACTTGCAAGAAGCTAAGTGGGAGACTGTTGGATTAGGTGTGTAAGCCCATAACTATAATTGATATGCACTTGAATTGATAGTAGCACAATCCTTATGGGTTGCTTTCATTCTTGCAACTTGACGTTTGGAGAGAAGTTGAATTTATTATTTGTAATGAGGATTGCTTTGACTTCATTTTTCTTTTTGCTTGTGCAAACTAAGTTAGTGAATTTTAGACACGCGATAGTTTTTCATAAATGCTAATTACAAACATCTTGTTTATAATTTATATTGTTATGAAAATGGATATCCTGTAATGGTGTTTGTGAAAGTGACATTGGAGTTTAGCAATTGCAAGAATTACACACAATGTCAACAAAGTATTTGAACAATAATTTAACATAACAGCAGATGACATTAAGCGCTAGTTAAACCCCAAAATATGACACATTTTCAACTCAAATACATAAGAAGTACCCAAAGAAGCTACTAAGTCAACCTAAATATCCGAAAACAATATAAAGAGTAAATTACACTAATAGTCCATTTGGTTTGGAGTAATTTACACGTTTGGTCCCTAACTTAGTTTTTTAACTCGGAAGGTTCCTACTTTTTGTTTTTATTATGCGTTTGGTCCCTACTATTTGTTTTTGTTACGCTTTTGATCCATGTTTTACCTAAAAAAACTATTAATTAAATAGAGAAGAGTGATGCGGTAGGTAAGATAAGGTGAGGTTAGGGGTGTGTTTATTTAAATAAATTAAAAAATCTAGGGCAAATCAGTCTTTTTAGGTAAGACAGGGACTAAGCGCTTAACAAAAACAAACAACAAGGATCTTCCGAGTTAAAAGAATAAGTTAGAAACCAAACATATAATTTATCCCAAACCATAGGGACCATTTGTGTAATTTACTCCAATATAAAAAATTGTGGAGCTATGCATGCTCTTCCATGTTTCTATCGTGTATCACACTTTGAAGTTTGAACCGAATGTTGGCTTTAAGGATTTGGACCGAATGTTGGCCCTTCATGAATGCCCCAGGCCATTTGGCCCCAATAACTATCTTTTTCCATATTTGAATCCTTGTTTCAGTGAGCCCAAACAAATATAGATCCTCTTGAAGTTTCTTGTTTCTAAACTCACATTAGGCTTTTTTTCCAACATCAATCTTCCTAATGGTACCATGATTCCTAGTTTGAAGCATCAATACATAGTCCATGAGCATGGTATACCGCTTTCCATAATCTCTATGCAGTTTGTTTAGTGCTAAAACCTTAGCCATGAAGACCTTCATCTTTGATATACGAATCTTGATTTTTTTTGAAGCTCCTCCTTTTAAGCAACAACAAGGATCTTGGGATTATCTACAACTTATCGGAAAACCTTGTTTGCAAGAAAACCTTGAGGTCAAAGAAAGAGAATGTTTTAATAGATCTGGTTTGAAGGCATTTATGCTTATTAGGGATGAATTATAAAACCGGAAAACCGGTCTGAACCGGAATCGAACCGGAATCGGAGCCGGTATAACCGGAAAATGCTTAAACAGTCCGGGGTATTGGGTTCCAAAATTAGTGTTATTCGAGTTCCGGGTATTCCGGATACAGGTCCGGGTATCCCGGGTAAAAAAACAGGAACCGCCGAACCGGTATTTGGAACCGGATATAAAAAAATCGGAACCGGGTTTAATGGAACCGGGTATCTTTTTGTATACCCTAAATCATATACTAATGGAACTTCCAATGCTTTTGCCAATCGACAAGTTGAAGCAACAAACCTGAAACATAACAAAAAAAGTTTAAAAATCTTCACTCTAACAAACAATTTCAAAGGTAATTGTTTAGAGGTAAAAATCTATACCAGTTACTTTTAAAGTAAAATTCTAAAAAAGTTACAATAATAATTACCAACATTTATTAATATACTACTTTTGTTTAAAGAGATAATTTTATTATTGAAAAAGGGTAGTCTTCCAAATGATTTGTTGCTAAATAGAACTTATAAAACTGTAAATAGAAAACAAAAAGATTTATGTTCGTGTGTGATATGTGCAGGGACAATTAAAGAACATAATATGAACAATTAAAGAACTTATAAAACTCTAATCATGTTACAACATATTTTTTTTTTCTTTTGCTCCAAAATTCCGGGTGTTCGGTTCCATTTCTGGGTTTTCCGTTATTTTTGGGTCTAATACACGAATCTGATTCTAATGATCAATTTTCGGTTCCAATCAGTTCTATGCCCACTTTACCCGGTTTGATACCCGGAACCGAACTGAAACCGGTTATCGTATACTGGTCTGGTTCTCGGTTCTTATAATTCGTCAATTCCGGGTTCCGGGTAAACCGGTTTGGTTTTGGATCCACTTTCATCCCTAATGCTTATCCATAAATGTCTTCACCATACAATCATCCTCTTTCTTTAACCTAGAAACATTAAGTATCCAACGATATTTAAGATGAACTGAATTTACTAACTTACCCTTTCCCCCTGTTTATATTGTTTTCAGATGGCCCACATTAGGGATGAAAGTGGTTTCAAACCCGGACCCGGAAAACCGACGAAACCGAAACCGAAAAAACCGAAACCGAAGCAAAACCAACGGATAGGGTTTAAATTTTTTAAAAACCGAAAAATCGGGTTCGGTTTCGGTTTTTACCTAGAAACCGACCCATCCAACTCGAGAAACCGACCCATACTTAAAACCGAAAAACCGCCCCAAGAAACCGACCCATCCAACCCGAGAAACCGACCCATACTTGATAGTGTTTTGGTTGTAATAGACTATTTTAGGCTTTAGTTGTAACTTGTAATAGACTATTTGTTGTAAGACTCATGTTTTTTGAAGTACTTAACTTAAATTTGGTGTTTTTTGAAGTATTTAACTTGTTGCTTCATTTATGGAAAATGGGTTAAAACCTAAAACCCATGGGTTTAAACCCAGAACCCGTGAGTGTATGGGTTGAACCCAAGAAACCGAAAAACCGCCCAAACCGACCTCAGAACCTGAGAAACCGAACCGACCAGAAACCGATCCTATTGGGTTCCAAACCAGAAACCGACCATCTATGGGTTGGGTTGGGTTTGAGTCCAAAACCGACCAAAACCGACCCATACACAGCCCTACACTTCACACCGGTAGATTGCGTACATATATGTATTTTTCTTTCCTTTTGCCTATAATGATACCAATGGTTTTGTAGTTGCGTACAGATTTTATTTCGTTGGGCATAAGGACATGATGGCTTTCAAGTCTTCTTTTTCTCTTTGGCTGCCTTCGTTTTGGCTAGTTTCTCGAACAAACTGCCATCAAATAGACCTCTCATGGCTTCTTTTGATAGGTAACCTCCCTCATCTTTAGCTATAATGTATACAAGCCCCCACTCGAACTTGTTTAATATCCTGCTTGACATCAAACACGTATGATTAATACTCGATTTAAAATGCACAAAATGATTTTGTTTGATGTGATCGAAACACAAACCATCCCACAATATCGAATGCAACATGATTTCCTTGCGTCATGTTCCATAGCTCTCTCAAGGTTAGCTTATCTGGGGATGTTTTGCCATATTTGCTAAATATATTCTCGAAGTTAACAGGAAGATACCTAAAAGTAAAACTTATTATGATGTTATTGCCTTGTAAAATGGGATCCGTATACTTTATTTTTTTTTAGAGTACTACATACCTTCCTTCAGTATCGTATGTCCCAGAATCACTTGGATGCTTGCCTTTGTGTATGTTGGCTATGTGAATTGGAAGCAGCAAATTTGGAATGTAACCCTGCAGCCAAACAACAACAATCAGAGTAAGTAGAGAAGAGTACATGAGTTTCACTTGAATGTAGTTGAGAAGATTGAACTCATGGAAAAACATAGACTAATTAAACTTCAACTTACTGGGAGGGAAAGGTAACTAAATATTAGATTGAAACCTAATCCCAAAACTAAAGATACGAGTACATTGAACCCAATAGCTCGAAGGCCTGAAAGAGTCGAGAGCATCGTTTCATATATAATATTCAAATCAAACATTCGGGAAGTTGTTTTAGTTTGATGTTTACCGGTGTAAGTCTCCCAAGGATAAACAATGCCATTGTTGTCTTGATCAAAGAAGGCGACATGTTGCTGGAGCACACTCATGCCACAAGCACTGTGTTCTTTTGTGCCATCTGGATGTTCCATGTCTGGTGCAGCCATAGCTCTAGCCATGTCTTTTGAAGAACACACAATCAGTCGAGCTATTTAAAGAAACATTAATTCATCATTCAAGAAGTTATAAGAACTTACAGGGCTTAGAAATGGATAACTCAAGGTCACTCCGAACAGGTCGTTGAGCTGTGACTGGTGCCAATGGTGCCACTGTCGCCATTGCAGCAGGGTCATCGCTAATCTCCATCTTTCAGTATATGAGTAAGAAAGAGATGTTAATGGTATTTATTGAGAAATAACCTTTGGATAAGAGTTAAGTTGAAAACGCAAAATGGGGTAGGAGAATCGTGTGGGTAAACAAACACCGAAGTTGAAAAGAGAACATGACATGACTAGTATTTTTTTTTTTTTATTTTTTTTTTTATTATTATTATTATTATTATTTTAATCATAGTTTTCCTATTCCAAATTTTATTTTTCGAATAAAAAATTCTTTATTACGTACCAGATAGAAAATCAAAATCACCCATTTTGATTTTCATTATTTTAACCAATCATCTGAACTTTTCCGTTAAAAAATATAGAAGATGATAAAGATTTTCCATTAATTTGATCAAAATATTAAGTTTTTTCTAAAGCTAACACCAATATAATACTATGTAAATTTTTATCCAAAAACAACCCGTTCGTTTTGATGTACCCATTTCGTTCGTTTTCTCTTTAAGTAAGTTTAATATGGGAAGCAGCTTGTTGGCTATATATAAAAGGTTAACTTATTGCTACAACCAAAGATTTGTGAGAACCCGAAAACTCCTAATGTGTTTATCATTTTTCAAAATGAAGACCATCATTAGTCTCAAAATATTGCATTTAAGTCATATCTAGGCTAAAAAAAAAAGATTTGATGAATTTTGTTTGTTTTGAAATGTGCATATATGCACATTTAAATGTTCATATATGTGTGTATATATGCACATTTTATGTTTTTTTTTCAAAAAATTTCAAAAACAAAACAATAAGGCTCTAAATTTACCATTTAAGAGAATCGCAACTTGAAAACGTAACATATATATATATATATATATATATATATATATATATATATATATATATATATATATATATATATAGTTAAAAATAAGTTTGTCAAATCTGTTTTTTGGAGTCCAGATCTCTCTTAGATGCAATATTTTCAGTACAATCGTAGTGTTGGTTTTGAAAAACGATATTTGGAGCGGATTAGAAGTTTTCGGATTTTCGTAAATCTTTTGGTTCTCAAAAAAACTTCTCTTTCTCTCTCTCTCTCTCTCTCTCTCTATATATATATATATATATATATATATATAATAGCTAACAGCTAGACTTCAATTAAAAACAACAAGAAGTTGGAATTACATGGTACAATACAATGGGTTTTCAACCCAAGAGTTCCAAATCAAATTCCTACCCCATTTCACTCTACTCTTAATCTATAAAAAGGCCAAAGCCTTGATATCATAGGCTAAAGCTAACAGACTCTTGACATTAGTATTGGTGATGAAGATCACGTCGTTCCTATATTTCCATATAGTCCATAAGAATGCTCTAGATATCGCTTCTAAGGTGTCTAAAGACATACACTTTTACAGTAGAGTTTACCCCCCAACAAGTATTCTAAAGAGTCCGTTGAGGCAGGAAAATCATTCCACCAAGTCTGTATATGCCCTTGAATCTCAAGTGTCTTGGAATAGTTCTTGAATATGTGTACCTCGTTCTCTTCGAAAGCATTGCATAAATCACAGAAGGTGTTAGGAATGTTTACTCCTCTTCGTGCAAGGTTTAATCTGGTAGACAATCTGCCAAGTCTTACCCGCCATATGAAGATATTTATTTTCCCTGGAACCACCTTGGACCAAATGGTTGGCAAGTTCGTACTCTTTAGTAGTTGAATGTCGATTTCCTTTCTCAAAGTTGACACCGTATACTCCCCTCCTCCACTAAGACTCCATCCCCAATTATTTGTGATAATAGTACCTCCTGTGTCAACATTCCTATAAAAAAGATTATTTAAATCTAAGTTGTATTGTTCTAAATCGATGTTGACTTTGCTAATTCTTCCCCAAACTATGTTCCTGTTAGATCGAGAAATTGACACACCCAAACCACCATGAACCCCATATATGGTAGTGATTACGTTTTTCCAGATCGAATTTGTGTTGTCTCTAAACCTCCACCACCATTTCGAAAGAAGTGCAAGGTTGAAAGCTCTTAAGCTTCCAATTCCCAAACCACCAAGATCTTTGGAGTTCATCGTTTTCCCCCATGCAATCCAAGTGATACCCTTGTTACCCGAAGTATTTCCCCAATGGAACGCATTACGGATACTTTCAAGTTTAACAATAATGCTTTTGGGAACTTTGTACATTTGAGAAAAGGTAGGAACCAAGGCTACCAAGAACGGACCTAACAAGCATCAACCGACCACTAATGGAGAGAGTTCTAGGTTTCCACATTGAAAGTTTTTGTTAAATTTGTCCACAAGAGGGATCCACGTGTTAACTGTACTCGGGTTTCCACCCACCGGCAAGCCGAGGTAAGAGAACGGAAGGTTACCTACAAGACACTTGTACCACCTCGCCATGGAAGAGACCTCCCTATATGGGACACCAATACCCAAAAACTTGCTTTTATGTAAGTTGACTTTTAGGCCGGAGGCTAAATGAAAACATGTGAGGATTCTTTTTAGGTTTTTAGCATTATTCCTAGACCATTTTCCCAAGAAGATCGCGTCATCGGCATACTGGAAAAGGGATACAGTAGGTCCAGAATTAGACATAGCAATCCCCTCAAAAATAACATTGTTAGTAGCCTCATTTAAAGCCACTTTGAGACCCTGAGCAGCGATGATGTAAAGAAACGGGAAGAGAGGATCTCCTTGTCTCACACCTTTTTCCATGAAGAACTTCTTGGTAGGGGATCCGTTGACAAGAACAGAGACCCTGGACGAGGATAGAATGGACCTAATTCAAGTTCTCCACGTGACCCAAAAACCCATTTGACCCATGATGCCATCCAAGTAACTCCAACTAATCGAGTAAAATGCTTTATCGAAGTCAACCTTGAGAATTAAAGTTTTTTTCTTCCTTTTTTTAGCCCATGAGATAATTTCATTAACCACCCATGGACCATCCAAAATGTTCCTACCACTAACATAAGCTGATTGTTCACTGCTCACAACGGAACCAATAACTTTTTTAAGTCTACCAGCAAGCGTCTTGGATATAACTTTTGTGATGCACCCAATAAGATTTATGGGTCTATATTCAGTGAGGTTTAGAGGATCAATTGATTTAGGGATAAGAGAGATGAAGGAGGTGTTGCTCCCCGGATTTAGGATCTTGTGATGCTCAAAGTACTTAACCGCTTCCACGACATCCCCCCCAATAATGTCCCAAAACATCTTGATGAACTTAAACGAGAACCCATCAGGACCCGGACATTTGTCATTACCACAACCCCACACAGCCTCTTTGATCTCCTCCGTAGTGAACAGAGCTTCTAGGAAGTTCCTATCATGATCCTCTAAGGTATGAAACTTAGAGTTAATGAATCGAGCTCTATTGGTGGCTTTTTCTTTGAACTTGTCTTTGAAGAAATTAAAGACCTCATTTTTTATAATGCCCATATTTGTGTTCCAAACCCCGTTAATGTTTATGCCATTATACACGAGCTCTTAATACTCATATTCACCAACCCATGGAAAAAACTTGAACTTTCATCCCCTTCAAGAACACATTTGCACCTCGCCTTTTGTCTTAAATCAAGCACTTTGCAATTTTCTATGTCATGAATTTTTAAAATAGTATATGATCTTTCTTTTATGGAGGCTTCATCAAGGTCAATGACTTTGGCTAACACATCCAAAGCCACTACTGTGACAACCCGAAATTTCTATTCTGTACAACCATTCACTTCATTAGAAGTCAAAACTGTTTCTGCTAACTGTTAAGCATTTTGGAGCCAGTCGGAGTGTTTTAAAGTTAGTACTTCAAGAGATAACAGGAGAGAGGATGCCCTAGGGTTTATTGTGCACCAATAAAGTCCCAAAACTCCAAGAGTTTGGAGTTTACGGCCTAAACATGGTGTTTACGGCCGTAAACCCCAAGGGGTATAAATATGGTACTTAGCCATTTTATTCACTTTTTCACATTTTCAAGAACTAGAAACTCAAATCATTCCATTTGTGTAGATCTTCAAGTGTTCTTAGTTTCACCAAGAACACACACTAGTGTTCTTGGACTTTTAACACCCTTTCAAGCTTCTACATAGTAAGTACTCTTACCTTGGCTTGTTATAAGGCTTGTTACACTTCTTAATCATCTAGAAAACACAAAAGAACTCAAGATCAAAGGTGTTTACGGTCCAAGATGTTCTTGGACCGTAAACCCTAATGAAGGGGCCAAAGTGTGCCCTAGTCCCTTACCAAGCCTTGTATACTAGTCTAGATCCCATCCTTGATGTGCTTAGGACCTTCGTGAGTAAATGCCTTACTTGCGCCAAGGTCGAGGTCGAATACCAGAAACCCTCAGGACTACTACAACAGCCGGAGATACCGGAATGGAAGTGGGAGCGGATCACTATGGATTTCATAATCAAGTTGCCCAAGACAACGGGTGGAATTGACACCATATGGGTCATCGTCGATAGATTGACCAAGTCCGCATACTTCCTGCCGATCAAGGAAACAGACAAGATAGAGAAGCTTACAAGAACTTACATGCGAGAGATTGTACGACTGCATGGTGTTCCCATATCTATTATCTCGGACAAAGATAGTAGATTCACTTCGACGTTCTGGCAGTCGCTACAAAGTTCCCTAGGAACTAGGCTGGACATGGGTACAGCCTACCATCCACAGACCGACGGACAAAGTGAGAGGACTATCCAAACCTTGGAAGTTATGTTGCGAGCCTGTGTGATCGACTTTGGGAAAGCATGGGATACTCATTTACCCCTTGTCGAATTTTCCTACAACAACAGTTATCACACGGGCATAAAGGCTGCTCCATTCGAGGCCCTCTATGGCCAAAAGTACAGATCCCCTCTGTGCTGGGCTGAGGTGGGTGATACCCAGTTAGCTAAAGGACGAGTTCTTGAAAGCACTCTCACGGGTCCGAAGATCATTCGGGAAACGACAGAGAAGATCGTTCAGATTCGTGAACGATTGAAAGCCTCTAAAGACCGACAGAAAAGCTATGCTGATAAACAAAGGAAACCGTAGGAATTCCAGGTGGGAGACCGTGTTCTATTGAAGGTCTCACC